CTCCACATGTCTACCATCAATCTTTTCAAAGTTTTGTCGATGCCTTGGATGTTGTAATCTTGATCAAACAACTTTTGAGCAAGAATCGTATGACGCAGTTTGAGAACAACTTGTTGCCGCAGGCACCAATAGTGGAGTGAGTGAGTGAGTATGGTTTTACGCCACTTTTAGCAATATTCCAGCAATATCACGGCGGGGGACACCAGAAATGGGCTTCACACATTGTACCCATGTCGGGAATCGAACCCGGGTCTTTGGCGTGACGAGCGAACGCTTTAACCACTAGGCTACCCGACCGCACTCACCAATAGTGGAACTGCTGGAATATAACTCAACATAAATGGAACGTTGACTATAGGATGGAGAGTTGAAGTCACCCCTCTTGTCATACTGCCTTGAGATTATTTCGTCTCTCTGAAAATTTATGCTTAGATTTAAACAGACAAGACGGTTACGCCTGTCTCCTTTATTTCTAGTTCAGGTGTTGGGCGAACCTAGGCATCGAATGGGCTGTTTGACCGGTATCAGATTATCGTTATATTCGAAGCTTAAGCTAAACCTCTTGTCCAAATTCCCTTGTTTTGATTTTGCTAACCCGAGCAGAAATTCCAATTCATATGCCTAAGGAAACAGATCAGCAAGAAGGGAAGCACAGTTGGTGCCTATGGGGATGCCTTTGCCTTGCCTTAAATCCTTTCGTGAACACATGTTATCATCACTATTGGATAGAGATTCATTAACACACGCTCATGATATAATCGGAAGCGTACAATTGACTCTTTTTTGGCTGAGATTTCTTATGAATATGAAAAGGGTTTTGTCGCTTTTATTTACAACTAGACCTCACACAGATGTTACAAGGCAGGGCGGGAAACTTAGGAATGGCCAGGAGTCCGAACTCTGACCACACAGAAGGACTGACTGACTGACTGAGTATGGTTTTACGCCGCTTTTAGCAATATTCCAGCAATATCACGGCGGGGGACACCAGAAATGGGTTTCACACATTGTACCCATGTCGGGAATCGAACCACACAGAAGGAAGCGAGCTACAAAAACATGTTTTATATCACTGAAAAGCTCTCGAGGAGTCGAATCCAAATAATGTGTGTCCCAGTGTGTTCACATGTTCACAAGCTCAAAAATTGGCCCAGAAAATGCATTACTGCAGAAATTTCTGGCAGAATTCTTTTTTTCTACAGAAATTTCTGGCAGAATTCTTTTTTTCTACAGAAATTTCTGGCAGAATTTTTTTTCTGCAGTAATATTTAGCAGAATTATTTTAACTCAGGAGAAATAAGATTCAATCATTGGATAATTTAACCTGGAGTTGCTTCAAATGACCTTTTTCCTCAAAACAAACATTTTTAGTTCACATGATTACAAGCAATAAAATACATACAAGTAAAGAACAGAGATTATATTTTCAAAATGGAAACTACCGCATCGCAGCCACGATTCAAACCAATATCAATGAGGAAGTCCGGCATTTCGCATAATGGTTTCTCAGTAAAGTTCAGATAACATTTGAACTGACTTTTGACAAATTGTCCTGAACCTCTGAAGATATAGGTGTAGCTATATTCCTGAAGTCTGACATGAATGTCATTCGTGACCAACTCGTGTTATTCCGGGACAAGCCGAATTGCGACTCGTGCCTCTCTCGTGGCCATTTTTGCGACCGGGTTCCGTCTAAGCGCAAACGGGCATACCTAAAACAATTGTCAACTTGTTACATAATGGGTCACATATATTTTCCCATGTTCTATATATATTTCAGATGCAATTTAAAGCACATCGGAACATGCGGTATTGTACAGTATTATTGAACACATTTAACTGTGTGCTGGGTATATTTTTAGATGCAAGACATATGTAAAATCAAAAATTATTTCTGAGGGATTCTTTGACGAAGAACTTGAAATCATACGCGCATTTTGATTGGTTTGTCGTGTTTTCGCACATAACATCCATCGAAAGGGGGACCACTCTCCTACCCAGAGTTCCATGCGGCCGGCAGCCAGCTAGTATAGTACCTCTGCCACAGACCAGCGCCATGTGACGATTCGTCACATCTTTCACAGTCCAGTCAAGATATTGCATATGCTTTTCATCCGTTTCATGTTTGACAAGTCTACACATTTTCATAAACAAATGTCAAAGAATGGTTAACTTTCATTGAGAAAGTATGCAAATACGTAAAAATCTACTTGTTTTTGCGTAGTTATCCTATGTTTACATTGGTTGTACGGCTCCACGTGCTGTCATCGAAGCCCAACGGAGAGCTAGCGACACGGTCACTTTGATGCATAAATATATATTGTCATGCAACTCACTGTCGCAGTTGTAGTAGCATATCTATATAGTTATGCAAAACAATATGTAAAGCGCCCCCAAATACTTGCATTAGTCCGTTCTATACTGATTTCTGAAAAAGCGCGTTTGTTTACAAACAAGAGAAAAGTCCGGTCACGTGATATGCAAATTAGCCTGTGGCAGTGGTGTTATGCTGAGTCACCACTGCGACGATGTGTGTAGGGGGATGACATGAATGTAAAAAAAAGTCCTTCTTGGTTATGGTTAACCTTCGAGACATGGATTTGGCGGTACATAGGATGGACAATACTCGTTACTCAGGAACTGAGTTATTCACAACCGTACACATTTCCATGTCTATGCATGTTCTTACGGCATGTGTATCTCACATTGTGTGTTTTACATGGAATACTCCTAACCTCCTGCTTAAAACAGACACATGGTGTCATCACTGTCATCATTTTCAGTACCTGTAAAGATCCGGGGTAGAATAGGTCTTCAGCAACCCATGCTTGCCGTAAATAGCGACTACGCTTGTCGTAAGAGGCGACTCAAGGGATCAGATGGGCTTGCTGACTTGGTTGATGCATGTAATCGATCCCAATTGCGTTGATCGTTGTTCATGATGTCGGCCTGTATCGCAGCTAACGGAGACAACACACACTATTGATGGACACGAGTATCACTTGTCATTTTATGTTTGGGGAAGGGGGGGGGGGGGGGGGGGGGGGGCGTGTTATCGGGGGTATTTTTTAATATACACGGATGGTTGTCATCAAACAATCAAGGCTTATTTGGTATCAAATGTTTTCTCTGTTATCATTTTTTAATATTATTTACATATCTTTTATGGTCTTAACGTTAACCGCATCTAAAAGAAACTTGCGGGTTTTTTTTCGGCTGGATCTGTGAAGAATAGGTCTTCAGCAACCCATGCTTGTCGTAAGAGGCGACTACGCTTGTCGTAAGAGGCGACTAACGGTATCAGATTGGCTTGCTGACTTGGTTGATGCATGTAATCGATCCCAATTGCGTTGATCGTTGTTCATGATGTCAATCACTGGATTGTCTGGCCCATACTCGATTACTTACAGAGCGCCGTCATATAGCTGGAATATTGCTGAGTGCGGCGTAAAACAACAAACCAAACCAAAGACAGAGTGTGGTGGCATTAACGTGTTAATTCTTCAAAGGGACAGCGCTGGCATCATGATTGGGGCAGACTCAAGCCATCAATTGCAAAACCACAGACTATTTGATATTTTTTGGGTGGGTGGAGTGGTGTGGTGTGGTATTGTGTGGCGTGGTGTGGTGTGGTGTGGTGATGTGGTGTGGTGTGGTGTGGTGTGGTGTGGTGTGATGTGGTTTGGTGTGGTGTGGTGTGGTGTGGAGTGGTGGTTTTCTACTGTGTCAAACGAAAATCCGAAGTCAACATATCATATAACAAAAGCGTACACACCCTAACACACTCTCACACACACATGTACATACACTCACACTCACACACGCACGCACGCACACACACACACACACACACACACACACACACACACACACACACACACACACACACACACACACACACACACACACACACACACACACACACACACACACACTAAAGCCTATGTACTATGATATTTCCTCTACCTTATTGAATGACCGTGAAAACAGAAGTCACGGTAATATACCGAAATGTGCTTTTTTCATACTTAGGTAGTAAGGGAGATATATTGATATCCCAATTCTGAGTGACACACGGTCCGTCAGGTTGCAGACTAAAATACTGACTGTTTATTTTCTTCTGAGACTCTCGAATGGAGATGAACCACTACTCATGGCTATCACATGACATGACTGTACTTTCAATGCTACTATTAACTTACAATATAGAGCTTAGATAATAATAAGCTATAGACAACTAAGTCTATCAATTGTCTACGGGGGCTAGTTGACCTTGACCTACATAAACGTTTCCAATTTAACGTCAGTCGGTGTTTTGTCACTCCGATCCAGACGTAATTCTAGCATCACTTCAGAAATGTATATGTGCTTTTAAGGAGCAAAATCTATCTATTACAATGGATCGCCCTTTACAAAGTATGCCCTTTTGAATACAATGACGTTGTGACGTTATTCTACACCGGATACTATCTAACTAGTCATTTAACAAAGAAAGTAGAAATTCCACATGTTTTCTACAATGATTCTTGATATATTCTTTACTTTGTATTGTTTGACTTTACCAAGACGAAAAAAGAACACAAAATGGGTAATCTATGTTTCTTTTAGTTTTGGTGTAATGCCTGGGGCAGCAACATTCCGGGTATATCACCGCAGCCTGTAAGTAGTCGGGTCTGGAGCAGACAAACCAGCGATGGAAATTATGATCAACGGTGTACGATGACATGCCATCATCAACGCCACAGAGCTTGACCACCCGATCCTTTAGTCACCCGGGGCTGTCGGGTAGCCTAGTGGTTAAAGCGTTCGCTCGTCACGCCGAAGACCCGGGTTCGAATCCCGACATGGGTACAATGTGTGAAGCCCATTTCTGGTGTCCCCCGTTTGATATTGCTGGAATATTGCTAAAAGCGGCGTAAAACTAAACTCACTCCCTCACTTTAGTCACCCCTTACGACAAGCATAGGTTATTGTATAATTATGCTATATTCTCGTTTCAGACAGAATTCTTGGTAGAACTGATCCAGCTGATGAACTCGAGGAATGGGTGAGTAACAAATACATTGAACTTCGAACTCTAATAACTAGATATTTTGTTTACGTTGATGTTACTTCGCGCAAGTTTTCTTATCGACACAATGGTATAATATCTGCTGTTCTCGAACTTGCCATAACTCGATATATGTTCGTGGGTCTGCATAAGCCAAATATAGAACCATAAAACTGTAACATTTAGAGGGAATTTATTAAGCTAATAAATCCCCCAAAGCACCCCCGGACAATTATTTATAAGAACATCTGCTCTTAGAATATGCATTCGAAATTACGCGTATGTAGTGTACCCGATGTGTTCTGATTGTGTGGGGGCGGTCGGGTAGCCTAGTGGTTAAAGCATTCGCTCGTCACGCCAAAGACCCGGGTTCGATTCCCGACATGGGTACAATGTGTGAAGCCCATTTGTGGTGTCCCCGCCGTGATATTGCTGGAATATTGCTAAAAGCGGCGTAAAACCAAACTCACTCACTCACTCACTCTGATTGTGTGACATAGATATTTGTGTAACATTATGTTGCGTGCATATGTTGGAGTGTGTTCTGGCTTATGAGCTCATTGCGAGATGGCGATGAAGAATGTTCGGTGAATTTTGAGCAATGTGTTAGTTTAAATCCTGCGTCCTTGCTACATTGGTATGTACTTGCTTCAATGGCATGAGGGGGCGGTCGGGTAGCCTAGTGGTTAAAGACCCGGGTTCGAATCCCGACATGGGTACAATGTGTGAAGCCCATTTGTGGTGTCCCCCGCCGTGATATTGCTGGAATATTTCTAAAAGCGGCGTAAAACCAAACTCACTCACTCAATGGCATGAACACACGAAAGGAACACAAAGTTGACTTTAAAATGCACTTTGGAAAGATAAATGACCTTATTACGTCATAAAGTTGACAATCAAATCCCTTGTTATATTAACTTCTGGTATTTTCTGACATTGTATATTTATCCTGGAAATATTTTTTAAGCACTGGAGTAGCACTTTGGAACATAAGCAATGTTTGCTTTGGAATAATTGACACAAGAACGAACTCAAGTGCCATTACATGGTATTATTTTATTACTCGAATAGCTCCTTTAAGTATGAACAACGTGTCCGTCTTAGGCGACTCTGCTTGTCGTAAGAGGCGACTAACGGGATCGGGTGGTCAGCCTCGCTGACTTGGTTGACGCATGTCATCAGTCCCATTTGCGTGGATCGATGCTCATGATGTCAATCACTGGATTGTTTCATCCAGACTCGATTATTAACATACCGCCGTCATATAGCTGTAATATTGCTGATTGCGGTGTTAAAAAAACAGACAACAACAGCTACGTTTTGGAAAAATAAAAATAAAAAAACAGTCTAAAATGTCATAAAAGTTGACAATCCGCAACCCGTATTATAGTACTGACAGTATATTTTACCAAGAAAACTTTTGTTACAATCAGAAATAGCCCCTTTAACTATTAAGTGAAGTGTATGGGGGAGTGCAAGGAACTGTTTGGCAAGGTCACCAGAATGTATAGAAAATAAACAACCTGCTATAAATCCAGGGTTCAATTCAATCAGGTATCACCCAAATACCAAATACGATTAGGTTAATTCCATGTTTTCAAATTTGGTCCCATTCCTGTGTTAACGATGCATTATAAGAACTATTAGTTTTCTCTGTTCGTATTGGTTGACGGGCTCTCTCTGTGTGTGACCGCCTCCGTGGTCTTGTGGTAGAGCGTCCGCCCGGAGAGCGGAAGGTCATGGGTTCGATCCCGGGCCGCGTCATACAAAAAGACGTTAAAAGATTGTACTTGTTGTTACCCTGTCTGGCGCTCGGCATTAAGGGGCTAAAACAAGGACTGGTCGGCTCGGAGTCAGTATACTGTGTCTGAGTGGGGTATTCATGTTAAACTGCGGCATGGTATCTCAGTGAGCTAGCACTATAAATCGGCATCAGTCCGGACTACTACAAGCAGCCACACACACACATACACGTGCATGCACGTCGCTATATAAGTGCAATAATCTTGGACGCGACGTTAAACCCAATTTCACCTCACCTCTCTCTGTGTGTGCCAACAGCTTCCTCGGTACAATGTCAATTGGAGAGCTATTGAAATATTGGCTGACCCACTGTGGTCATGTTTGACATTTCTGTGACGAAGATGATGAACACGTATCTCGCGTCAACTGATTGACTCGTGACACATGAAATTGTCATCGAGGTCAAATTAAGCCGCAAAGATTGGGGAAATATCGACTGATGTGCCATCTTTCCACTGGTCGCATGATTCTCTAATATTTGTGGCTTTTTGCTTCTGATTGTACAACAACTGGCCGCTCGTATCCAGCGTGTTAATGTCAATCATGGCTGCCACCGATTCAATAATAAAGATGAGGTTCAGTTTTACTGCAAAAGATTTGATGTGGAACATCGGCTTATTTGATTTCTTCTCTCAGATTGTTGAATTGACAGACGCTTAGAAATCATAAAGATGTTATGCGATTTTGTGATTTAGTCTCTGACAGAGAACGTCTCTACTAGCGATAAAATTATGAAAAGGGACATCAATGCTGACTTTCATTCGACAGGAATCTGAGAAACGATAGTGACTTACAGGCGATACTGTTCATATAATAATAATAATAATAATAATAATAATAATAATAATAATAATAATAATAATTATTATTATTATTACCGTGGGCCACGTGTGATTTTTATGGTCTAATTTCTATACGTGTAATCTGATTGGCTTGTGTTTTAAGAATACATTCGAGCTCCTCGGGCATATTGGTTTATGCAAGGCTCCTGACTCTTCTGGACCAAACTAAAGTGGTAAACGTGTAACTGTGGCCGATAGATTTAATCAAATGACAATCTCAGTGTCCCTATCAAACTGACCCGTGAAGATCCGATGTAGGATAGGTCTTAAGAAACCCATGCTTATCGTAAAAGGCTTGTCGTCAGAGGCGACGAACGGGATCCGGAAGTCAGGCTTGCTGACTTGGTGGATACATGTCATCGATCCCAATTGCGTGGGTTGATGCTCATGATGTCAATCACTGGATTGCCTGGTCCAGACTCGATTATTTACAGACGGCCGTCATATAGCTGGAATGTTGCTGAGTGCGGCGTAAAACAACAAACCAACCAACCCTAACTTGAGTAGTTCGTAGGTTGCCATGCAGGGACTGGGTACATGCGCTATCATATATTTAGACTATTGAATAGTGTCAGATTTTGAACCATCTATCCTGCTCCTGTTTCAGGTGATGGTCACAGTTCAGAATGGCCAGATGAAGGAGGTTCAGAAAGAGGCTGTTGCAGGGGAGACAATTCCAACACAACCGGAAGTGACTCCTATCGAGTTTGATTGAACATGTTAATGTCGTACTCATTGTTTGTGTGTGTCCTCCCAATGACCCTATTCAGTTAACAAGCATGTGCCTCTGAATAATTAAACATTGCTTTTATTTATTGTAGTGTAGTGTTCTGTTCTTTTTCAAGATACATGTATGCTTCTCACCGAATGAAACATAAATGGAATATGACAGAATAAAGTTGTCAAGAGAAACGCACAATTAGGTCTAGTGTATGAGGAAAGAATAGATCAGCAGTACTCCAGACCAAGTTCAATTCTGTTAAAACATTTGAATTTTCAACTTTTTACAGCACAATCCCACACGACGAACTCCTCCATTCCTTCATGGGGCATTTGTCACTTAAGGGGATGAACATAGATAGTTATCTTGAAATGTTGAGGAAACAATAAACAGAAACATGAAACGCATGTCCTATCCAAGTGAAAAAGGACCATTGAATGAATGAAATATTTCTAAGATCTCTTTTTCTATTTATATAATTATTGTTGATTATATTTGCCAATTTATGCGTCGCCAGAACATCGCTTGAGACTGATTACAGGCGTCTGCTACTGACGTAAGGGAGAGCTTCGACGTCGGGCTTCTGTCAGACATGTCAGTAATTGGCTGGTTGATGTAGAACAGGCATTTTGTGTCTGGTGTAAAACATGTAGATCAATCAAGTTTCAGTTTGTCTTTTATTCGAAATTCATTGTGTTGTCGAGTAATATTCCAGCAGCTCCAGCCTTTAGTGCCAACATTTCACAACTTTTGAAGTACAATCAAGCATGCTCCTTCTACGAATATTTCTACGAGTGTCTTAAGATTCTTTCTTACTGTTTGATTAAGGTTACAACATTCAAAGATTCAGTAAAGCTTTCAGACTGTTTTATGGTGGACATGTGGAGGACATTCTCAAATATCTCGTATCAGAAAAGGATATTTGATGCAATTCCATGTGTCCTATTCCATGTGTTCCCATGTTTTTGTTCATGTGAACAATTGACTTGCCTTTGCATGTGTTTGTGACGGGTGCCACAATTTTGGCAGGCTACGCTCCCCATTGTTTTCTGACGATGATGGAAAGTGATTTGTCGTTCTTATTAATATTGTAACATCCATGTGCAGAACAAAAGGTTATATATAAATATCCATACACATCTTCATTGAGGTCACAATATTGAAATGCATACTCAATCCTCTTTTCAGATTTTGGATGTCATTGACATTTGTCACACTGAGGTCATCGATGTTTAGGGCAATGTACTGAATCAATCACAGGCCGCAAATATTTATACGACCTCCACCTCCAGCAACACAGGAGCAGTTTGGTCTACAGCATGATCCAGACAGTTCTTAATAATCCAACCAACAGCAATGAAACATACTTATTTTTATGCCCAGGACAATATCGTACCCATCAGCAGTCGCTTTGACCGTGCACGATTTTGAAATATTTTTAATAGATTAAATTTCGTTATTCCTTTTCCGGGAACTGAGCAGGAAAACTTTCCGCTTCGTTGTGCGAAGAGCATGGGCAAAGCGCCACCATCTTGCATCTGCCATTAGTGAGTTAGTGAGTGAGTTGGGTTTAACGCCGCTTTTAACAGTATTCCAGTTATATCGCGGCGTGTCAGCTTAATGTGGGAGGAAAGCCCGAAGTGATGCAGGCCTCAGACGTTTACCACTTTGGTGAAACCCACGAGCACGGGTATGGTGCTGACAAACCTAGAAACATAATCGGGGCGAACCGGGATTCGAACCCACAATCATAGGTTTCTGGCGTGCCCAAGGGACGCAACTCTGCACAGCGAATTGCGACGTCTTAGACGACGGGGCCACCTGTGCCCCCTTTGCCATGAGACAGAGCTTTAGGGCTGATCATGTTAACGTGAGATCGGACTGAGACTTCACACCTTGAGTCCACTTGAGACAGGACTAGCATTGTTCTCTCACTGCGGACGCTCTTTGATGTGTCGGCTACATCTTCTGGCATGTGTTCCGGCATTAGCTTGCAGGGATTCTTCCACTTACATTTAATGGTAATTTTTTTTATTATGTTAGCTTTTTTAAAATACTTTTGCTTTTCTCGGTTTTGACTTTGCTAAGATGTCTTTGCATGTCTCTGAGTTGTCCCCAGAGTGAGTGAGTGAGTGAGTTAGCGAGTGAGTGAGCGAGTGAGTGAGTTAGCGAGTGAGTGAGTGAGTTAGTGAGTGAGTTAGCGAGTGAGTGAGTGAGTGCGTGAGTGAGTGAGTGAGTGAGTGAGTGAGCGTATTAGCAATCGCGTGGACTTAAGATTATGCTATAAAATTGTTCAGACTTGTTTGTTGGTCTCTTACGTGAAATAATTGCAGTTCGTTTTTTGTCATTCTGTAGGCATTCTAGAATATATTGATAGACACAGTGTGAGTCCAGTCATAGGCTCCACTATCTGAGAGATTGACACAATAAAGTTTCCGTTTTTTTACGCAATTGAAGTGAATAACACTTCGGACGATTCTTGTCATGATCTAAAATCCCCCGAACACTCAGAGAAGCTTTATGAATATTACCCCTTGTCTATAGAATGCAAGATATACTCTTTCTTGTAATTGAAATGAGGAACTTGCCTGTGTATCGCGAACCTTCATTTCTAAATCAGGACAATCATTCAGAACTAAACGTGTTTTTTAAATCGAGACTGATTTTTTTCTGGCGTTGTAGGTTATATTTAACATGATGAAGGTAATGTAAGCGTCATGTAAAAACAAAAAGACGTTTGAAGGTTGCATTTCGTTTTTGGAATTGGGAAGTGCACTTTTTTAGATCTGAAAAAAAGTGTCATTTGCTGATGGAAATACAAAAAATATGAATTTAGTTTTTGTGACCATACATGCATAAATAAAAACTATATGCATTTTTGCCAGCTTCTCTATCTAACTCGCATCAAGGACGTCGACACGAAGACGAAGCTTGAAGGTTTAGATATTTCTGAAAGCACATGTCATGTGCTGTGTACTGCGGCGCATGACGTGAGTCAGACGCCATCTCAGAAGCGCCAAGAGCGATGGGTTTCAAGGTGGACTCCTTAATGAAACATCTTGTGGCCACGTGGACTTGTCCCGACGTCCTTCAATCGTTTTCCTATAATCTTCGTTTTGACTGCTGGTGACGAGTTGCCCGTGTTATTTCATACATATTTAATGTAAAAAAGTCGTGTAAGAGAATATGCTGTAAACACTGACAGTCCAAACATCGACGTGTCAAGTGGCGATGTTTAGTTCGATATTGTCACCCTTCTTGCAATTTATGAAGTTACCGGTTTGATGGTAATGTTATGAGGCCTACTACGTGTCCTTGGCGAGTATTCCATGAGAGTTCCTTGTTGAAATAACCTTGGTTAAAAACAGAGGTCATGTTTATGTTGATAAATCTGTGAAAAGCCACGGCACATTTAAATAATAAAAAAATGAATTCGTTACGCAACATTAGGAATTCTAATTGGTCGAGAGCTCCAGAAAATTGTATTGTCAATTATTAAATTCAATAAATTAACAAAACTTCATAAAGGCACGTTTTCCCGCAAGTAGAACTACTTTCCAAATGACGTCGACCTTGTTTACGTCTCTAAATAGCATGATGTCGAGAATTCCCTTTTATAATGCTGATCGATTTTTTCAGACTCGAAAAAGATCCATAATTCTTTTGTAAAAAATGGACACAATATTAAAACATACAGACGAAAAACACTTACTTTTTTACTTTACATCAACCGATCGCCCATATTCCCCTCTCACGAGTCCCACCCCGATCATAGCGTTAAAACATGGCTCAGCCTGAAGACGGTACCCATTGCAGATTTCAACTGAACTCCTCACCTTTTAAACTTGAACAAGGAGATTATGCTTTTGATTCCGAGAAGGGACTGGAAGAATTTTTCAATGGTGAAGCAAATCGGCATAATGAATGTTAAAAAAATTGTTTACATTACCAAACCTGGATTTTTCTGTTTTGATAACGGAAATATCTTGGCGAGTAGGTATGTTTAAATATACTGGAATTTTGAATATCAAACTTTATGTTCCAGAAACTAGCTTGAAACTTCACTGAGCATGAAATGGTCGAAATTGAACAACACGCTAAAGACGAATCAATAAAAAGGAATACAAGTTGTGTTTTTTTTTTTAGGGTAACGTCCTACTCAACACAAAATAATAGTTCACAAAGGGGATGGAGAAAGAAAAAATGCTCAATTCTGTCTGTTCTCAATTTACATGAACCACGCTTGAAATAACGACTTTAGCTGATGCTATATGAGGCGGTCTGTAAATAATTGAGTCTGGTCCAGACAATCCAGTGACTAAAATCATGAGCATCGATCCACGCAATTGGGTTGGATTGGTTGGTTTGATTGTTGTTTAACGCCGCACTCAGCAACATTCCAGCTATATGACGGCGGTCTGTAAATAATTGAGTCTGGTCCAGACAATCCAGTGACTAAAATCATGAGCATCGATCCACGCAATTGGGTTGGATTGGTTGGTTTGATTGTTGTTTAACGCCGCACTCAGCAATATTCCAGCTATATGACGGCGGTCTGTAAATAATTGAGTCTGGTCCAGACAATCCAGTGACTAAAATCATGAGCATCGATCCACGCAATTGGGTTGGATTGGTTGGTTTGATTGTTGTTTAACGCCGCACTCAGCAATATTACAGCTATATGACGGCGGTCTGTAAATAATTGAGTCTGGACCAGACAATCCAGTGATAAATATCATGAGCATCGATCCACGCAATTTGGATCGATGACATGCATCAACCAAGTCAGCGAGCCTTACCACCCGATCCCGTTAGTCGCCTTTTACGACAAGCAAAGTCACCTTTACGGCAAGCATGGGTTGCTGAAGACCTATTCTACCCCGGATCTTCACGGGTCTATGAAAGGTTACCTATTGTCAACGATATAATTTCAAAGCTAAGGCTACAGGTTGTCCCTTTATATCGTTTTTAGTTTGGTTCCTTCTTCAGTTATTCCAGAGCGAACACAATTTGTATACTAAAACGTGATATTTGACCCCATAAACAATTCCAGTTTGAATACATACGCCCAGGATAATAAGGGTTACGTACTTGTACAT